TGATGCGGTTTAATTTCAGCTATCTGTTCACCTGCTACAAAGGGGCTAGCTGTGATAAGGCTTTGTGACTTTTTCCTTCTATTGCTGCAAAACCTTACCAGGCAGATTAGCAGGGCTTTTTATTCAAACAGACAAAAAGGATACAAAGATCAAGAGCTCTCAGGGTATCTCAACAAATACAGAAATGAACCAATTCAGCTGAACGACAGATAAAAATAAGTCTACACTCAGGCATACAAACAGGCTGTATCAAAGTGGCACTTGCTTATGCCATTTCTTCATTTGCCATGTGACTTACACCCGGTTGTTGTGAACCGTGTAACCACGCTGGAATCAGGTTAAGTGGCTCATCTGGTGCACCTTTTCTTTGCTATTACAGTGGTAAGGTCCTCCCCACATCCCCACCCCCCAGAGAAGCTGGGAACATAATGGAGGCAATTTTAACTTGGCTTTTATGTATGAGAGGTCACTGCAATACTTACTGCCATTAAGTGGTTTTAAGCATCGTGCTGGTGTTTCATTCTCCGCAAGTCCATTTGGCTTGTCTGCTGCTTCTTTTACACCTGGGTTCGCATGTTGAAACTGTTCTTCGTTTCCTTTTGCAGACCCGAGATTCACCTCTTCAGCAGCCTGTCCTTCACCCCTCCAGTCCTCCCTGGATGGGGCACATTGGTCAGCACTTTCCTCACTCGGTGCTGGAGTACTGCATCCATTAATGCCATCTGTTTTCTCACCATCAGGTGAAGCATGATCCTCGGGGTACTTTGAAACATTTTTATTATCTCTTGATTGCACAGAGTTGTTACTGGTGGGTGTCAGGGAGGTGCTGACAAGACAGTTCTTTTGGGAATGGTACTGAGGTATAATTCCAACAAATTTCAAGCCTTGACTTGCAGCATCTTGAATCTACAAGTCGAAGAAGATTATATTTTTAACTGTCAAACTGTCTTAGCTAAATCAAAACACAGAAAATAACACCCTTCAAGGCAGCTAGCATGTCATTTGGCTACTTTTGTCCACTACTATAAGAAATTGTCACGTTACATTTACATAAAAAGTTACATTCTACAGAAGCAGGATAAGAAGTCCCCTAAACCATCTGAAATAATGTGAACCTGGAGAAAAAAAGGAAAGAAAGAAAAAAAGAAGAGAGAGAAAATACCTACATATTTCTTCAGAAGGGATAAAGTGTGTTTGAAAAGTTCAGTTATGCTAAATTATCAGAAGTGGTATTACTCACAAAAAGATTTCGTATCAATCGTTAGAAGTCTGGGACTTAATATTACATCTTCTGCTGTATTAGGTGTATGATTATGACGTCTATGCAAGGCAAAAGGTATTAATTCTTGCTGTTACATGCACCATTATAACAAGAGTTGTTGTTTGTCCTATTTTGGATTGAGACGTAAATGGTAAACGTTCACATAACAACTACCTGAAAGCAAAGCTATTTTAATACATCACTTTTGGGAAGATACACAACTCGGAATAGAAGAAGGTGTTGTGATACGATAAGAAGAAAAATGGAAACTAAGGGTGCTATTATTAATCCTTTACACTCTAGGTAAAAGAGGAAAATGAAGGAATTGAATTACAAAAGATTCTAAGAAGAAAAACTCTGGGCTAGTGCTAATGACAATTAGATAAAGATGGAATTAACAAAGGAAGGTTTGAAGTGAAGCAGGAAGAAATCTCTTCTAGGCAGACTCAGCACTATGGATGCACCATCCGTTTGAGCCACCAGCCCCACACTCCTCGAACCCAGAAGAAGCTGCAGTGAGAGCCAGAGTTCTGTGAAAATGTATGAGTGTCTGCTGACTCATTTATCAGAATCCCCCACTGAAAGGAAAGGTTTCCTCGTTTCCATGTAAGGTATATTCTTCATATAACAAGTCTAAACACACTTACAGGAAATGCCTTGAGAATGGAGAAATAATTCCACTTTCTCTGGATACCATGGAATTCCAGAGAGTTCAAGTGTGTTAATTATTCTCTGAAGCTCAATTTAGTACAAACTTATGTGAAACAGTTCAGAAACAGTTCAGGCTTTTTTCTTTTTAACTTAGGAGGAAAGTCATTTCTCCATCTTCCCTACGCAGAATTGGTTTTTTTATAATGAATCATCTACTTCCTGGCAACGTGTTACTGTTCTGAACACACAAACCTACAGATGACACCTGATCAACAACAAGAACTTCCTCTTTCACACCACTATTATATTTTCCATGTTAGATTAACTCTTGATTTTGTGATCACAGGAAGTTCAGCAGAGCTCTCCAGGAAACAAGGCAATGGGCTTCCCAGGTGTTCAGCCTGGCGAACATGGGATGCTGATTTAACTAAAGCTCGTTGATAAAGATGGCAATAACCTCCAAATAAGAACACTACTAGCAGTACCCTGATCAAACGCCTGTCTACACAGGATGCTAGCATGTAACTAGCTTGCTCAGAAAGGTTGACGCGAATGATAATGATAAATGCATTCATAATATGCTTAATAGTCCTGATTCCCTGTTGTAACTATACGAATACTATTCTGTACAGTCAAGGATAGAGTTACAAATTCAGTTCATCTCTTAACCCTGATCTACAGACATACCACTACATTTGTTTAGTAGGTTGCAGGGCAGCTAATTATAGAAATGTAACTAGTATACAACTGTTAAGAGTTCGAGGACAGTACATATGTAGCAATTTTATTGCTCCTGGTCAATAAACTGCTTGTCAATCTACACCAGACTCTCCCACGCTGTGATTTGGATGAGAACAGCTTTCACAGCTATTGTAGCAATGTTTCACAGTCTTGGCTCACTCAAAAAAAATGTGTTTGTTCTAAGGAACACCTGATTCTGAGGTTTTTCTTCTGAGGTTCCTGTTCTTGGAATGGAAATAGGAGGAATTAAGGACTGTGTGATAGTCTAAACTGCAGTAGCAGAACAGTTAACAGGTTAGCAGAAAGACTGGGAAAAGAGCCTGTATCTTCAAGGCCCTTCCCTTAAGGAAATCAGTGTTACACAGAATACAGAATCTTATTTAAACCTGTATTTCGAATTTTCCCGATTACGTAAGGAGGAACTAAGCATCTCATTATTTTCAATAAAGCAAATTTAGCAGGAAATGTTACATCAACAGGGCAATGTAAGCTGCAGAACAGCAAAGTGATATATCAGCAGACACGAACAGTCTTCCCTTCCAACTTCCCACAAGACCATGGAGAGGCTAATTCTCATCATAAAGTACAAAGCCTGAACATTTCCAAACTACAAAACCAATTTGATTCTTCAGCATCCTGTTGAGAGTTAAATAGTACCAAACTGTAGTTGTCTTCACATCCAGAACGAATTATGCCATCCAGTATGCATTCACACTTCCTGTTTCCTGTATTTGAAATACTGAATATTTGAATAATAA